GCTAACGGCCACATATAGGTACAAAGTTTCTCCTTCAGCTGGGCTAGCCAGCGTTGGGAGTTGAGCCAGATGCTCCCGAAGCTGTTTAAAGGCGTCTTTTTGCTCTTCCTCCCAAATGAGCTCTTTTGTTTTCGGGAGTTTCAGGGCTTTGAAGAAAGGTAACCCCTTATCCGAAGCTCTGGAAATGAACCTTGAGAGGGCTGCCATTCTTCCGGTGAGCCGCTGAACATCCCGCTTCGTTTTCGGCTCAGGAAGGTCGAGCGCCGCTTTGACTTTAGAGGGATTGGCATCAATCCCCCTTTTGCTGACTATGAACCCAAGGAATTTCCCTGACTTCACGCCGAAGACACACTTCTTCGGATTCAGCTTCATTTGATGCTTTCTCAAGGTGGCGAAAGTTTCAGCCAGGTCCTTTACATGGTCCTCTGGTTTTTTGCTTTTGACGATCGAATCGTCAACATAGACTTCCATGTTTCGGCCCTTTTGATCGGCAAAAACTTGATCCACCAGCCTTTGATAGGTTGCCCCCGCATTTTTCAATCCGAAGGGCATCATTTTGTAATTGTACACCCCAGCGTTCGTGACGAATGCTGTCTTTGCTCGATCGTCGGGGTGCATAAAGATCTGATGATACCCCGAGAATGCGTCCATGAAACTAAGCAAGGCATGGCCACTTGTCGAATCGACTAACTGATCGATCCTAGGAAAGGGATAGAAATCCTTTGGACAAGCCTTATTTAGGTCCGTGAAGTCAACGCACATCCTCCAGGTACCATTGGGCTTCTGAACCATCACCACATTTGCCAGCCATTCTGGATATTGGCAAGGTTCGATGAATCCTGCCTCCAACAATTTTTTGACCTCGGCTGCGATGTATCGGTTCTTATTGGCGGAGTAATTCCGCTTCTTTTGCTTAACTGGTCGACACGTCGGGTCAACATTAAGCTTATGGGAGATGAGGTCTGAACTTATCCCGGGCATATCAGCTGCCGAGAAAGCAAACACATCTCTGTTGTCCCGAAGGAGCTGAATAAGTTCACAACGGGTGTTCGGATCAAGGTCCATCCCGATTGTTACACATTTCTCAACGTCTCCTTCGGCCAACTCAACTGTTTCAGTCTGTTGGTCCATGTCCATTGCTGATGGACTAGACTCTTCATAATCTGGCCTGCTGCAAATGTCGGCAGGTGTCCCAGTCTTTTTGTTCTTCGGCTGGCTCTCTGAGTCTTGCGGCTCATCTGAAGAGCTAGCCTTTTCCCTTTCGGGCCCTTTACCTTTGGGTACAGATCCTTGGGCCGAAGCACTTAGGCCTTTCGGCTTTTTGTGCTCGGCTCTCTTTCTTTTTCTTTCTCCTCCTCATCCTTGTCATCTGGGCGACTATTGGATGGTTTGAGGTAGTTGCACCTTCGGGCGTCCTTTTGGTTGCCCTGTATCCTTTCGGGGAAGTCGGCGTCTGAGACGTAAATCATCAGCTGATGATAAGTTGAGACGACCCCTTGGATCTCATGAATTATGGGTCTCCCCAAAATCACGTTGTACACTGAAGGAGCGTCAATTACCAAAAATTCAATCATGACGTTCCTGGCTGCCTCATCGCAGCCGATGGTGACAGGAAGTGTCACCTTCCCATCTGGATAAGTTGAAGCCCCATTGAACCCGGATACCGGGTAGGGTACCGGCGTAAGGTGCTTGGGCTTCAGCTTGATTTGATTGTAGGCCTTTCGGAACAGAATGTTTGCTCCGCTGCCACCGTCAACAAGGACCTTGCTGACGTCGTGGTTGGCCACCGTGGCGATGATCACCAACGGATCCTCGTGAGGGAACGCTATCCCCTGGCAGTCGGCGGCTGTGAACGTCATGTTCGGCACCGGCGACTGGGGAGATTGAATGTCAGCGTTATTCACCTGGTGAGTCAAAGCTCTAAGGTGTCGCTTGTGCTCCCTCCGAGAGTATATTCCTCCCGAGATAACATTGATCGGAGGGAATTTCCCCTCCGGCTTTTTACTGTTTTTCCGGGGGAAGTCGAGGTCTTGCCGAGAGTCCTTTGCTGACTTCTCGGATTCTTTTTTCTCGCGGTGATCCGCGATGTATTTTTTCAAGTATCCCTTCCGGACCATGTCCTCTATCTGGTCCTTCAGTTGGATACACTCCTCAGTGTTGTGTCCCGAAGACTCGTGGAACTCGCACCACTGATTTTTATTTTTTCGCTGATACCACTCTGGGAGTGGTCTCGACTTTCGGTAACTCTGCTCCTCCTTCATCACGCTGTAAATTTTGGCGCGTGGAAGAGAGAGCGGAGTGTAGGACTCGTATCTGCCTGTGAATGAGGTAGATCTTTCCTTCTTTGGGTCGCTGGCCAAAGATTGCTCCGAGGCCTTTGACTTTCCCTTTGCCTTATGGCCTTGGCCTTCAGACAAGGGTATTTGCCTTTGTTTCCCTCCCCTAAATTGAGGTTGGGTTTTCGCTTTGTTCCATTCTTCGGCTCGGATGAACTTATCCGAGGCATTCAGAGCTTCCTCCAAGGTCTGCGGGGTATGCATGACCATGAAGTCTAGGAACTTTCCGGGCTGAAGGCCATTCTGCATTGCAAAAACGGCTAGCCCCTGGTCCAGCTGAGAGACGCTGGATGACTCGTTACTGAAACGGGTCAGATAGTCTCGGAGGCTTTCGGTTTCCCCCTGTTGTAGACTCATGAGCTCTGCAGTAGTCTTCTCTCGGCGGTTTGCCGTGGAAAACTTGCTACTGAACTTGGAGGACAGATCATCCCACCCTGTTATGGAGCCTTGCCTTACTCCCTTGGAGATCCACGCTTGCGCGACCCCCTTGAGAGTGGTTGGGAAATATTTGCACCAAGTCGCCTCGGATCTGGGGCAAAGATGCATATGAGTCTCATACGAGGCCACGTGATCCTTCGGATCCGAGGTCCCGTCATATGTGATGTGCGACGGTATTTTAACCGTGGGTACGCGCTCTTCCAGTATCCATTGCTCGAATGGTGAACTGGCGGGTAGCATAACGGCCTTGCCCTTGTTCCTGGCCGAAGGGACCGCGCTCCGCCCTCTTAGAGAGGTAGGAGTGGTTTTCGTCCCTGGCTGGGAAGTCTGGGCCTCGGCTGCAGGGAACGAGAGGCGACTGCGCACGCTCGGTTCCTTGCCGCCGAGTCGGTCAAGGACGCTTCGGCGAACAGTCTCAGGTTCCCGGTGAGTAGATTCTGGCCGAGAAGCTGAGCTGCTGCTCTTATGCGCTTCTGGTCTTGAGGATGAGGATCCTTTTAAAAATTGAGGGTTGTTTTTCCTCTCTTTTTCATTTTTCCAGGAATCCTCTTCCCACTCTTCCAGTTCCCGGAAGGAAGGAAGCTTCCCACCATCATGGTCTAACTTCCTCCGCTGATGCCGGGTATGCGGAGGAGTTCGATCACGAGGTGGTGGCATATTTTGTGCCCTCATCGCCTCCATGAGCACTGCCAGCGCTCTTGCCACTTCTTCCGAGCTGGGCCCCGTCAAAGGGGTCCTCGGCCGAGTATGGGAATGAGGGCGCGCAGCCGATGGTTGGCTTTGGGGCACTGAATGTGTCCTATGATCGGACTCACCCCTGCTAGACCGAGAGTGACTCGGCCTATAATGGGAGTCATGAATTACGGGAGAAAGGGAATCCTCCTTGTATGATCCTCCCCCGAGCTGGCACCCTTGGGAGAGTTCCGGTCCGACGAGGGTGATGGTGTAGGGGTTTTAGGCTTTTCGCCCGCTCCTTGACGGAGGCTTTTGCTCTTGCGGTTCTTAGCCATTGCTACTAAGATAATTGCAAGATGATCTTGGTTAGAAATTTGGCTTAAAGATTTTTGAAAGTCTTCCCCACAGACGGCGCCAAATTGTTTCGGGTGAAAATAATGGGACCTTGCCGAAGATCCGCTGAAACGGAGAAGACTGGATTCGGTCCAAGTTATGCTGGGCCGAAGGTTTCCTGCACAGTAAACACACGTAAACTAGCCTCGGGGGTGTTGCCGAGGAAGGCCCCTCCGATGCTAAAGTCAGTACAATGTGTAGAAAGAGAACACTATGCAAGAGAATTAGTTGCTTGAGGCTTTGCTTGAATATATGAGAATATATGAATCTATGAATCCCCCTGAATGTATGAATATTGATGGCTTTTATACCTCTTCATACATGGAGAGGTTGGGTCTTAGCCCAATTGACTTGCTTTGAGGGCTGACCTTTTACTTTAGCACAATTGGAGAGTTGAACCTTGACCTTGGGCTTTTAATTGGATCATTTAATGCCTAGGCCCAATTGGACTAAATTGGACCCAAACAATAACTAACATTAAATTAAAGAAGAATTTGGGGCTTACCATCGATAAAAATCGATGACAACCCCTAAGTTTAACTATGGTGGCTAGGTTTGAAGAGAGAGAGAAAACTCTGATTATGGATTGATTGCCAATATGTTATTTTTACCACCCTTGTTTTCTAAAAATTTTGGATCGCGAATATTATTTGGTAATGTAAGAACTTAACTACGATTATGAGATTGATTGCCAATGTTTCTAAAATCATACGACTGATTTTTACTTGTTTTTTCTAACTTCTAAGCTTTAATTCTAATATTTTTCTTTTGTTGTTTCTATTTGTAGTACATTTTAAAATAATAATTATAATAAATTAAACGAGTTTTATTGTTTAAGTGCGGTTTTATGGCTAAAGTTGTTTTATTTTGTAAAGCAAAAAATTATAATAATTACATATTAACAAATTACACATTATTATGAATCTAACAAGAACCAACTAAATATAAAAGTTATAATAAGATAAGGAAAATTATGGTGAACTAAACATGCCACGTTGTAATTTCCAAGTAATGTAGCCATTAGCCAAGAAGTCGGGGGAACAATGTGACTATCTGACTATACTTAGGCTTAGGAATTGAACTTTGATCACACATTTTCTTGAGTTCTCATTACTAATCTTTATTCCCAATCATTTCTTAAAGTAGTTGATAGTACGTATGTCTGCCATTGGAGCTGCTATAAACAAGCGAAGCTGTGGAATGGAAGAAGTTGATCGAATCAGCAACTTGCCACTAGATTTGACACATAAAATCCTAGAATTTTTACCACTACAAGAAGCCGTTAAGACAAGCGTGTTGTCGCAAAATTGGCGGTTTAAATGGACTTCAATACCACAGCTTATAATTGGTGAGTCATTCATTACAAGTATCATAAAGGGAAGGAATGAATTCAATGAACCTACTGACATTTCTTGACGTACTCAACTGCTGTCAACAATATACATCTTAGTCATGATGGACCGATATCTACGTTTGTGCTTCATATTCCCGTATGGTTCGTGGGAGAAATATACACGTGGGTAAGGTATGCTTGTGCTAGTGATCTCAAAGAACTCACTCTTAAATATTTTTTGGGTTTTCAAAAGAATTTGCCTACATGTTTGTTCACTTGTTCGGGCTTAACACATTTGACTATTATTGGATGCAAACTCCTCCATATTCCTCCAACTTTTACAGGCTTTCCATGCCTTGTTTATCTTAAATTGGGAGGCTATTATAATCGTGACACCCCTAAAAACAACGAAGTATTGGAAACTCTTATTTCAAGATGCCCACAATTTGAGAGCCTCTATCTAGATATTCATGAAGAGATGGGTTTGACAATTCATGCTCCAAAACTTAAGAAGTTGTCAGTGAGCGGCTACATTGATAGTCTATGCTTGGAAGAAAATATGGCTATTAACGCACTAGGCCTGGAAATTGTGGTGAGGAATTGTGGCTGCCTCAATGAAATCTTGAGATTCACGTTCTAAACAACAGTTTTTGGCTGGTAAGTAAACTGTATTTGAAGTTTCAACTTATAGCAGCTAAGTCGCTCATTCACTTTTTCGCCTTGGAGGCTATGCGATATTGTCGAGCTTCTCCAAATGCTGAGTTAAAAATCAAGACTGTGTATGAGAGAAGAACAGGGTGGCTGACATTATAGCAAAGCATGCCAGAGGAGATTTAAATACTACTATGTATCATATTTGTAATTTAGATACTCCTCCCCCTATTTGTATTAAAGCTCTAGCCACTGACTTAGAATCTTTTGGACAGCAAACTAGCTACCAGGATGCATTTTGGGATCGCCTATGGGCATCCAACAACTCTCCGTGAACAACCTTTCTATTAATTAATCAGAAGATTATTTTATATTGGTTCGGTTTATGGCTCCAAAACACTGGCAAATTGACAATCAGTAAATGAGGGGATGACCAGAAGATTATTTGTTCTAGAATCATGCTTTTCAACAATACCTGACTTGTTTAAAACACCACAAAAACCTGTTATGAAATTTTTAAGTAACATCATCCTTACTATACTAGCTAAATTTGGCCAATTTACTTGCTGTAACAATTAATTACAAAAAGCTCCCCTTCCTCGAATGATAATTCCTCCAAACCCTGATTTACAGACAGAATAACATGAGGGGAGTAATGTATTGAAGAAAATTCTTCTGCGATTTAAACCAGAACCAGAAATAAAAACAACATCCAGACACAAGCTGTAAACTATTCTTGTAAGGCTTATGTATAACAAGATTAACAACCAAAGGATCATTCATTCACTCCCTTGTTGGCTGCTTATGAAACAAGAAAGTAATACCAGTCACTAGACTCTTAAGCAGAATCAGAAGACGAATCTGAAGTAGAAGGTGAGGTGGCAACATGAACAGATCTCTTTGGCAATGTGTTCTCTGGACAGATGACTTCCACCATTCGTGATGCTCTACGAAACCTATTTAATTGCATTAACATCCTTGAACGGGAAGTCCTCTTGAGGAGGGGTGTATGTACTGACAATCGCTCAAGCACAGGAGAGCAAGCAAGCAAAAACTCAATCAGCTTCAGCTCTGTAGTAAAAGCACTCAAAATTCCAATTTTGGCACACCTGAGGTGGTGTAATGTAAAATCAGAATTGGAGTCCACTAAACGTCCAGCAAGGTTTGTGCTTGAAATTACCTAAAAGTATTAAGTGAAATTCACATGTTAGAACTATACTCTGTAATACTTCGTATAAATTTAGAACGAAAAGCGATCATAATTTTAAAACTCCAGAAATTACAATTGCAATGGTAGAAAGCGCTAGAACTTCACTTAATTCATAACAGTGAAGCAATTCTATGGTACTAGGAATCTTCAATTATCTCAAATTCTCAAGTATCCATCTCAGAACCTTGACACTTTGACAAGGGTAGTAGACATGTGACAACACATTCAACCAAAAAGATGGATACATCTACTTAATAACCATGTTGGACACTTAAACACATATTTCACCCAATTTTGAGTTAGGGTGAACTACATAGGTGGAGACAGAGATCCCACCATAGATATGAGTTACTTACAGTGATTTTAAGTGTTTCAATGTTAGAAAAGCTCTGAATGCAGCTAATCACAGAAGATAAGTCATCCAGATAATCCAAATGAAGTGATAGCAATTCCAGATTTTTCAGTTTCTCAAAGGTATTACGAATGCTGCCTGCATTAATTAAAACCTGCAGCCATCAAATGTTCGGAAAATCTAATCAGTCAGGATAAAGTAAATCATGGATACAATTTTTTATCAGCTATCCAAACACCACTTACCCTACAAAAGTGACATCTAAAGCATAGCCTTTCAAGTTTACTTGAATTTGCAAGAACTTTGGCCAGATCACCTAAGAACCCCTTGTGAACACTGACCAGTTTCTGAATACCAAACGAAGCCGACACAAGACTCTCACAAAATTTCACATCAAGTGACCCGAATACCCAATCAATAGTCAGGTATCTAAGTTTCGGAATATCTATAACAATGTTCATTTGCTCCAAACCAGTAAAGTTTGTTAAAACTAATTTTTGTAGTACTGGGCAACTGCCAATTAGATCTTTGAAAGTCTTGTATCTTAAAACAACTCTGTCAAGCTCAAGGCTTGTCAGCTTTGGGAAGCCTTCGAAATTAAGAGGAAACCTGAATATGCAGAAGTGAAGCTTCAACTTTTCCAGTTCACCACAGGAAAAAAGACGCGAGCTCAACTTAAGAGGCGCGATGTATGCATTCCAAAGGCTAAAATCTCTAAGACCATTTCTTGAAAGATGGGAAATCCACTGGTCAACATCTGGACAGGCATTTAAAGAAGGGACAAACAATGAAAACTTGTGAATGGGACCTTCATGTTGAAAGAGAATTTTGCTTACAACACTGCAAAACTTAAGGGCCTCGTGTACTTCCTCTTTGAGCACACTTGTACAAAAGTGAACATCGAAAGTTAGATGGGGGGTTGAAGTCCAAATGTCTTGCCACTTATGCGAAAGAATACACATTCTTGCAGCATCCCTAAGAGGCAAGCGTTCCCAAATTTCATGTATCACATCCCTCGGCAAATCACTAATTATATCAGCTTCAGTGTCATTGCTTCTTTTGATCTTAATTCTGGTATGGTCCATTACCTACTAGATTTGAACATTCAAAATCAACTACAGAACTTAATCAGAGAAAACAACCAAAGTTTATAAGTTCAATTCATTCTTCAGGAAATTTGAATAGTGTAAATTGGAACAGAACATACACCCATATGATTCATAGAGCTAAGGCATAAATCAACACTGGCATATTAATATCAAAATCCGTGGTCACGAATCGCAAGCAAGATTATTCGAAGAACACCTACATCCATTTGATTCATAGAGCTAAGGCATAAATCAACACTGGCATATTAAAATCAAAATCCGTGGTCACGAATCGCAAGCAAGATTAATCGAAGAACACCTACCCACAACTAGATCAAATAGAATATCCAGACAACTCATTACATCTAAACAAAATTCTGATGATTACTTAATTCAAACTTACTAATTAAGTTTACAGCAACATCTTAGACCTTATTTAATAAAAATCTTCAATTATATAGTGTTAATTAAGCATAATTATAACAGTACCAAAATCCCTAACAAAAGGAAAAATGCTTATTTTCATCAACAACGAATTTTTAAAACAGAAATCAAAACTTAAACCCTAAAAAGCAAAAATCAATTCATATGATCAAAATGAGCTCACATTTCCTTCGTAATTCACTCAAAGAGCCCAGAAATTTACCAAATAATAACTTTATTAAACTGAATATAGATAGAAATTGGAATGATCATATGCACAAATAGGCAAATTGAACGAAGATAATTGACAAATTACTGAAACATATGAAGAATGATTTTATAAAATAATAAGAAAATTAGAGGAAATTGTTAAAAATTGGGAGAAGAAATTACCTGGAGAAATGCAGAAGAATTGGCGGGAAGGAGTGAGAAATGAGTCAATAAAGAGTGCCGCAATAGTGTGGTGGTCAAGTGGTGTATTTCTCATTTGAATTTTCCTTTACATAAAATCTTTTGAACCACTCTAACCTTGTTCCTCCCTTAAAATTTTCCCTTATTTTATTAATCGTTTCAATGTCAACTTTAAAATTAACCCATCAATTTTTATTTTTATTTTTTCAAAATTTTATGCATATAAAAGTTAGGGATGTTTATGTTTTAAATTTGTATTAAAGGTCGTAAAAATGCAAATGACGGACAGTAGGGAGAATGGACTAGGGACAAAGGAAAAATTCCTATGCAAAATGGCAATCCAATTTTAATTACTACCCACGTTATTTTAGCGATTATTACACCAAGTAATAGAACCTGCAAAAGACCGGAAAGAGATTGGTATTTAATCTCTGATTATTAATGAGATACGAGTACAAATCATAAAAAGTCACAAACTAATTAGACTTATTACATAGTACATACAAAACATTATTAGTGGTGGGACTTCGGTCTGGCAGTTCGGTTTGACCTCGGTTTGAGTCGGTTTCGGTTTGGAGCGGTTCGGATTGAAACGGTTTAGTTTAGCTGGCGGGTCGGTTTGGTTCGGTTTGGGTTAGTCACGGCTCGGTTTGGTTTCGGTTTATTTCTTTGCGGTTTAAATTCGGTTTGGGTCATAAGCGGGTCGGTTTATAAACGATTCGGATTATGTCGGTTCGGTTTGATACGGGTCGGTTTAAGGGGCGGGTTTACCCGGGTCAATGTCAGTTCGGTTTACAAACGGTTTGGATCAAGCCGGTTTGGTTTGAAATGGGTCGGTTTAGGGGCGGATTTACCCGGGTCAATATCGGTTCGGTTTATAAACGGTGCGAATCATGTCGGTTCAGTTTGAAATGGGCCGGTTTAGTAGAGGGTTTACACAGTTCAATTGGTTCGGTTTATGAACGGTTTGGATCATGTCGGTTCGGTTTATAAGCGGTTTGGGTCATGAATTGAATTCATGATTGTTTTAAAGATCGCGTCATGACCATGATTTAATGAGTTGATACTTATAATACGATAAATCGATAATTAAGAATGTACAAATATTCAATTAGATTGATCAACAAGTGTTTTAAATTTTTAAGTTTTAATAATCAGATATGTAAATATGTTTATCGATTGTAGATTTGTAGTACATACCAATAATTCAATGAGGCAATGATACTTATGATAGTATGATAATGATACCAACCATACATTCGTACGATATGATATACATAATAATTAATCTATAATTACATATACATTAACAATATCGTATTGAATCAATTTCCATTTCCAAACATTGCATTTCTTATAAATTATAACTTACACGAGATTAAATGGATTCGTTATTTAGTTTGTTACTTTATTTAGATTACTAAATCAAACAACTTAATAAGTTAAATGGACGAAATCACGAAATCATGACCATGATTTAATGAGTTGATACTTATAATACGATAAATCGATAATTAAGAATGTACAAGTATTCAATTAGATTGATCAACAAGTGTTTTAAACTTTTAAGTTTTAATGATCAGATATGTAAATAACTAAATATGTTTATCGATTATAGTACATACCAATAATTCAATGAGGCAATGATACTTATGATAGTATGATAATGATACCAACCGTACATTCGTACGATATGATATACATCATATACATAATAATATAATTACATATACATTAACAATATCGTATTGAATCAATTTCCATTTCCAAACATTGCATTTCTTATAAATTATAACTTACACGAGATTAAATGGATTCGTTATTTAGTTTGTTACTTTATTTAGATTACTAACTCAAACAACTTAATAAGTTAAATGGACGAAATCACTAATTAAAGTGGTGATGAAAGCATTATGCAATACTAATGTACGAATAGTCAAATATACAACGGTTAGATTGAATGCCCATGAAAAACAATGGTTAGATTTTCATTACTTTATTAGTTATTAGTATTATTACTTATTAAGTTATTATTAGTTTTATAGTTTATTATATAAACTGATATACAATCACAGACTCACAGATGTCAGATATTGTCATATTGATGAGCATTAAGCCATTAACTCATTAAGTCATTAACTATGTCGTATTGAATCAATTTCAATTTTGAAACATTTGCGTTTCTTACAATTTATAACTTATAAGTAATAAACTAATAATAATAATAATAATAATAATAATTATAATAATATTATAATAATAGTAGTAGTAAACTAGTAATAATAATAATATTAACAAATAATTATACTAACAATAATAATAATAATAATAATAATAATAAATAATTAAAAAAAACGGTCAAAAAGACCTAGAAAAGCACAAAGAAAATCTAGACCGTTAGATCTAGATGAATATTCTAGAATCTACAAAAAAAAAATTGAACGGTTAGATCTAACTTAGATGTTGAGATTGAATATGGACGGTTAGATCAACTGAAGTAAAACCTAAACCTAGAAAAAAAAAACCCACTCTCACTCTCTCAGCCATTCTCATTCACTCATTCAGCCGTTTCTATCTCAATCTCACAATCTGTCATAGTTTCTCTCTCTAACTTCTCAGTTTCTCACTCTTTCGTTCTGAAAATCTCAAGAATCTCAAGCTCAATTTCGTTTCATTTGTGTTTTGGATCTACATTTCTGATTTCTAGCTTTACATTCTCGTTTTTTTGTTAATTTTTGTTGTTTTCGTTTTGATTTTTTTCGTTTTTGTTCCGGTTTGTTTATTTAGGGTTTTTGTTTTCGTTTCATTTGTGTTTTGGATCTACATTTCTGATTTCTCGCTTTACATTCTCGTTTTTTTGTTAATTTTTGTTGTTTTCGTTTTGATTTTTTTCGTTTTTGTTTCGGTTTGTTTATTTAGGGTTTTTGTTTTCGTTTCATTTTTGTTTTGGATCTAAGTTCTGATTTCTGATTTCTGATTTCAAATCTTCCTCTCCTTCAAGCCGTCAAACCCTAAGGTAATTTTTTTGTTAATTTATTCGATTTTTTCGTTTTCGTTTCGGTTTTTTTTTTTATTTCAAGTTCTGATAATCTACATTCTTGATTTTTTCTTTTGATCTCCAGTTCAGGTAGTTCTCCATCTTCAAATCTCCTTCAAGCCGTCAAAGGTAATTACTTTTTCCTTTTTGTTTTTTTTTAATACAGTTTTTCTGTTTTTGTATTTGATTATTGTTGTTGTTCTTGCTTGAATATAGTCGAAATATGCCTAAAATGAGTAAAATCTGTTGTTGATTGTATTTTTGTTTTTTACGGGAAAATGGTAGATTTGTGTTGTTTTGTTGTTTATTATGCTCGATTTAAAAGTAATGATGATGGGTTGTTCAGATTATGTGATTATTATTGTTGGAATACATGCATTGTTTATTTATTGGGATTTTAGCTTTATATTTTTAACCCATATTGTTGGAATACAAGCATTGTATATGATTGGCTTAAAGTTAGTACTTAAAATGTACACATATGTGACTGTATCGTATATAACTTTCTATATTCTGTTAGGATATATGTTGTAATCACGTTTGTTGTATAATTCTGAATTTTGAAACATTGACTAGTGCAAATAAAATTCTAAAATATGAACTATCTATTTAGTTGAATTTTGGTATTGAGTGAATAGGATTCACTGTCGTGACTTCAGTGTCAGTCACATGAGACAATGCATGCTTAATTGCTCACTATTAGTAGAATCTGTCACTTAATTTGGTACTTATAAGTTATAAATGCTGTTTTTTTTTTGTTTCAGTCATGTCTCGCGAGTATGATGAATTTGACTATGAGAGGCAATCAAATTTTGATACTGTTAGCTCTCAAGCTGCCTCTGTCTCGGTTGATGATGCTAGTAATACCGGCACTATCAATCCTTCTGTTAATAAACGTCAAAGAACCGCAGGTATATGGAAGCATTACACTTTTTTTGTAAAGACGATAGGTAATGAAAATGTAGATTATGCTCGTTGTAATTTGTGTGGAAAAGAATATAAAGCACCTGGTAAAGCGGGTACTTCAACTTGTAGAGCTCATATTAATGCATGTTTGGAAAAGCATGGTCTCCAGTCTGGTAACGAATCACAATTTGATCAAAAAACTTATTTACAAAAGTTTGCTAAAGCTATAATCTGCCATGCATATCCTTTAAATATTGTAGAGCATGAATATCTTAGGGAACTTCATGCATATTTGAATCCTAAGGTGCAGCATGTTTGTAGAAAAACTATGTTATTGCTGAGCATGATAAATATAAATCCTTGTTGCTTGAGTCTTTGGCTAATGTTTCTGGTAGAGTTAGCTTTACATGTGACTTGTGGACTGCATGTACTAACCGAGGCTATCTCACTTTGACTGCTCATTATGTTGATAACAGTTTTGGCCATTCCTATTACATCGGTGGCCTCTGAATCTTCATTTAGTTTGGGTGGTCGTATTTTGAACAAATATAGGGGTAAACTTTTGCCAAAGAATGTTGAGGCATTGGTTACCACCCAAAATTGGTGCCGTGGTTATCAAGCGGATGTTGAGGAAGACTTCCTCCTTATTGGTAAAGAGATTGAAGCCGAAAGTGCTTCATCTGCATAACTGGTATTTGTGTCTCATTGTGGTTTATTTTATCTTGAAAAATCGTTGCCCTTGTCATTTATTTTCAGACTTGCTGGCAGCATTTTTCTAGACTTTTAAAATCGTTGCCCTTGTCATTTATTTTCAGACTTGCTGGCAGCATTTCTTAAGTTTTTGTTAAAATAACCATTGCTCGGTGATGTAAATCTGAGAGCAATTTTAAAAAACAAAAGCTATAATTTTGAAGTTGCTTAAACTTGTTATGAGTTGCTGCCTGCTGGTAATGCTTTTACCTTTTGGTTGTTGTCTCTGCTGAGTTGTTATTGCCTATATTGTTGCCTGCATGAGCTGGTTCCTGCCTCCTGCCAGCTTGAGGTGCTGTGTTGCTGCCTTTTGTGTTATGAATTTATGATAAGTTTTGTTGCTGCTGTTTCTTATGCTTGCTGTTTTAATTTTTCTTGAATCATCGTTGCCCTTGTCATTTATGTTGAGACTTCAATGTATATGTACTTGCTGGCAGCATTTTTCAAGTTTTAAGTTAAAACAGCCATTGCTCAGTGATGATACGATAAACGTAAATCTGAGAGCAATTTTGAAAAACAAAAATAAGTTCCTGCTGAGTCCCTTGCTTCGGATAAGTTGCTGATCTGTTATTGCGTGTGCTGGTTCCTGCTTGTTGCTGCTATTTCCTCTGCTCTTGGGTGCTGGGCTGCTGCTTCAAGATTCTGCTTCAAGATTCTGCTCCCAAATCACTCACATTCTCACTCCTCCCTTCATCTTATCATGTATCATTTTTTGCAACCCTAAACTTGATGATGTTTCAGTTGATAAATCTGAAATCTAATCTGGGTAGTAGTGATAGTAGTTTCATTATGTATTGGTATATGTATTGTGAATTTTAATCAATGAAAATGGTGACTTTTTTTAATTGCTTGTTGATATTACTCTAATTTTAATGTTATTTATCTCCAATCTTATGTTATCTTATTGGATGATCATGAATATCAAGGAACAATGAAGATAATTTGGGTGGACTTTATTACTGGAATGAAAAGATACAAATGATATATCTTGTAATTAAAATAAATAAGTAATCTAAAACGATATTAATAATGTCGTTGGCCTAGATCTAGGTGATATAAACCTTTGTATAAACCTAAGCCGTTTGATTAGATCTACATTTATTAACATTAATTATTTAATTGTATTTACTATTTAGCCATTTAGGTTGTAAATAATTCAATTTGAATTAAGCAGTTTGTAATTGGATAAGTTTAAACAGGTTGCGATTCGAAAACAGTTCGATTTTAACGGCTTAACGGGTTATGGCAGTTCTGTTTAGACGTTTAGCGGATTATAACGGTTCGGTTTATACGTGCGGTTTAAACGGTTTCGGTTCATAAACGGGTCGGTTTAAACGGTTAGCGGGTTACAAATGGTTCGGTTTAAACGGTTTTTTTTTTTCGGTTTAAACGGTTTCGGTTTATAAACGGTTCGGGTCATTAACGGGTTTATAAACCATTCGGTTCGGTTTCGCTTCGGTTCGGATTTGCGCAGTTTGGTTTGTTATCGGTTTACGGTCCGTAACGGGTTGACATTGAGCGGTTCAATTCGGTTTCGGTTTGATATTGAACGGTTCAGTTCGGTTTTCGGTTTACATTTATCGGTTTATAAACGGATCGGTCCGTGATGGTTCGGTTCGGTAACGGGCGGTTTCACGGTTCGGTTTGAAAAGTCCCACCCCTGATTATTACCAAATAACTTGGAACTTATTCAAACTAATCCAATTCGCTACCTACAAAATCACAAAAATCCCCTAAACATACAAAATCACGAAAGCAGAATCACTACATACTAAACCCGAAACTATCCAAATCATTACATACAAAACCACAAACTAGTCTGATCAAGCCGATGTATCTGAATAATACTCCGCGCCGTCAGAGGACGACGAATCTATACTGATATGCTGAGAAGCCGGAGATGAAGTGAATGATACTGAATAGTTCCCATGAGGTAATTTCTTTGGAAAGACTTTACGCTCTGGACAGATGACTTCCACCTTTGGGGATGCTCTACGAAACCTGTTCAACTGAGTCGACATCTTGGAGTGAGAGCCCTGCTTCAGTGGCGTAGTCAATGATATCGATAACTTCTCAAGCACAGGAGAGCACGCAAGCAGAAACTCAATCAACTTGAGCTCTGTACTGGAAGCACTCCAAATTCCAATATTTGCACAACGGAGGTGATGTAATGTAAATTCAAGATCGTAAACTAGCACATTTTTATCCAGATTTTTGCTGGTATTAACCTATAAATATAACATGTACTTAGTACTTATAAACACTATGAGAATAATTAACTATGAGTACCTATGTTATTAACTGTATACAAGAGAAAAACAGTCAGAATCACATTTACAATATTGCAGTACATATTTTGCAATCTGACATATGCTCTTTAGTAATCAATTTTAATACTTGCACTTAATAAAATATTTATTGCAGTACAATGTATCATATAGATAAAATTACCAATGTTGGCAAAGTCATTTGGTACCTTGGTTGTATATGACTCAATGAATCATACAACAATTTAAAGCGAGATCCTAACAGGCTAACAGGAACTAACCATAAAAAGGATTTACTTACAGAGATATCAAGCGTTTCGATGTTAGGAAAGCTCTGAATAGAGCTAATTGCAGAAGAAAAATCATCTAGATCATTCAGATGGAGGGACAGCAACTCCAAATTTTTCAATTTCGGAGAAGTATTAGGAAGGCTTTGCTTTTCAAACAATACCTGCAGCCATAACATGTTTCGTAATCAAAGGATTAGAACATAAGGAATATGGTTTGGTATTAACAATTCAAGCACCATTTTATTTTCCACTCACCTTACAAAAATGACCACCTAAACAAAGCCATTCAAGTTTACTAGAATTTGCAAGAGAATTGATCAGATCATATGAATTCCCTTCCTCAGGACAATTTTTTGTCAATTTCTGTAGAACAAAGGAAGCTGACACAAGATTTTCAGAAACTATAACATCAAGTGAAGCAAATGCACCATCGACAACCAAGTTTCTGAGGAGAGGAACATCAATAATAAGATGCCTATCCTCCATACCAGAAAAGTTTTTTAAAACTAGATTTTGTAGTGCAGGGCAACTGCCAATTACATCTTTGAGTGTCCTGCACACTATACTGACTCTGCAAAGCTCCAGGCTCGTCAGTCTCGGAAAGCCCCCAAAATTAGGAGGACTATATATGCAGTTATAAAGCTTCAAAGTTTCCAAGCTATCACAAGAGAAGAGATGCAAGCTCAACTTAAGAGGCGTATGGTACATGTTACAAAGACCGAACTCCCTAAGACCGGATCTTGAAAGAAAGGATATCCATTGAGTAACATCAGGACAAGTTTTTACAGGAGGAACCCACAATGTGAACTTGAGAATGGAACCTTCATGTTGAAAGAGTATTTTACTCACAATGCTGGAAAATTGATGGGTTTCAGGTACACTTCTTCTAAGAACCCTTGCAAAAAAGTGAGCATCAAAAGCAAGACTAGGGATTGAAGTCCAAATGCTCTGCCACATACGCGAAAGAACAGACATTCGTGCAGCATCCCGGAGGGGCAAACATTCCATAATTCTGATTAACACATCTCGCGGCAAATCACTAATCTTATCAGCTTGATTGTTAAGGCTCCTCCTTTTCTTGAATCTAGTATAGTGCATATCAATTTGAGTTTTAAGGCTCTTTTTTTTCTTGGATCCACTATGAGCCATACTTGATACTACTAATATAAACATCCATAGGCAGTTAGAATAAAAAAGAAAACGAAATTTCGACTGAAGTAAGTACTCGTTTTAGTTGATTTAATTTCCAAGACAAATGAATGATATATATAAGAACAGAACATCAACCAAGATTATTCATAAAAAAAATCTTTAGAAAATTGGCAATTACATCACAGTATACCTTCCTCCATTTCATAATTGGTGGTTTAAATATGATCAAAAATATTATCTTGTCGAATTTGTGTCAATGTAAAGTTTATAAGTAATCAATCTTTTATACTTTTTTACTAATGCATCACAGAAAATCTTAATGGTCAAACGAGGGCATTGGAGACCATGCAAATGCAAAAGTAAAGTTATGAATAAAAGGGATTATTAAATTTAATTTTATTTTATTTGAAATCACATTATAAAATCTGATGAGCTAAATTAAAATTTTTACACTATGAAATCTGATATGACCTAATTTAATTTTGGCCACAAAATCAATATGTGATGAATCTAAATTCCACTTAATTTGTAATGAGACTAAATTAAAATGATTAATATAGATATAAGCTTTTACAAAACAAAACCCAACCCACAAATATTCTGAGAAATCATGTAACAAATATTTTTTTTTTTTTAAAAAAAAAAAAGAATTTTAACTTGTAATTAAAAACCCTAATCCAAAAATATCAATTGAGGTTATTCCAATTATCCCATAATTCGTTGGCAATTAACCGAATGTGATATGAAATAATACCTCAAATTTACGGTTGAGTAATAATTATAATTACAAATTGATAGAAAATTAAACAGATATACAAATTGAACAAAAAAATTGACAATTTAGGACATAAAAATTGTTATTTAACATATAAAATAAAAAAACTGTGAGTGAAAACCATTACTTTGAAGAGAGCAGAGGTATCGCCGGGAAGATGATCGTGAATTCGAGATGGTGAATTTTTGTTTCTGCAATCTGAATTTTTATTTGAATTTCATTTTTCTTTTGTTTCGAGTTTTCCACATAAAGTGAGTTAAGTTTGAGTGTTTGACTACTAATAAGAAGTTTTTTTTTTTTTTTTTTTTCACCATATATTTATGAGTTTTTTTTTTTATTCACCATATATCCCTGAAAATTTTTAAATTCACAATATACCTCTAAAAATGGAATTTGGATAATTATGCATCGACATCACCTTAGATCTCTTTCCCCATCCCAAAAAACCACTCCTCTCCTTTTACCAAGCACCTAAACCACTCCAAATCTCCGCAACCATATCCGTATGATTGATTTTGAGGATGAGAAAAGGAAATTTGGGGTGCTTTTGGGGGTGGGAAAAAGGAATGTAGGTGGTTTCGGGGTAGGGAATGCATTTAGGGTGGTTTCGGGTCATAATTAACCCTAATGACTGACGAAATTAACAATAATTAGTCATCAAGGGTATATGGTATATTTTTGTGAAAACTCGGGGATTATGATGAATTTAAAAAAGTTCAGGGGTAAATGGTGAATAAACAAAAAACTCAGGGGTATATGGTGAAAAAATCGGTTTTTTTTGTGGAAAGTTTGAAAAATACCACCATCTATTGTTGTCATTTTTTACATTACCACCTCAAGTTTTTTTTTTTAATTGTATTTACCACGTAGTTTTGTCCAAAACACTAAAAACTACCACCACTTCACCCCATCCTCCCTACATGACGTCATGTTGGGTCCTACTAATGACCTCCCTTTCATTTTCCCTCTCTCTTCTCTCGATTTTCCCTGTTCTTCCCCCCCCCTCTCTCTCCCTCTCTCTTCTTCTTCTTGCAATTTCATTATCATTTGACGCATTTTCGCAATTTAGGGTTTCAAATTCTGCAATTAAACTTCAACGAATTGACAATTCAAAATCAAGGGGAAAATCATGTCTAATTAGGGTTAGTGAAATCAAATTGGGGTTTTTCTCAATTAAAATTAGGGTTTTACAAATTGATTAATTGGATGAATAATTGGACAATAAGATAAGAAATTTTTCACACAATTAAAACATGAAATTAAGGCCAAAACACTAACATGGTAGTGGTGATAACTCATTAAGATGATCATGTTCATATCCCAAAAAAAAAAAAAAAAAAAAAAAAAAAAAAAAAAAAAAAAACATCGCCACAGCCCAAAATACCAAAGTCAAAGTACTGAAATTACACTACAGACAACCCAAAAAATTATATAGCCACTTGTTCATACATATATGAATGACAGTACTAATAAAGACTCTCTATAGTCTTAGATTTTCCTTTCTTAATTGAAAGCTTCTCTTTGGCCCTGCTAGGATTTTGCTGCTGTTGGTTCTAACTTTATTGTGTTGGTGGGTCTTGAACAGTTGATTGAGAAGGTTGTGATGAAGGCTGCAGTTGCAAATCTGCTGTAACCTTTTTTGTAGCCTTTTTTTGTCTCTTTTTCCTTTCATTGTTCACCCATGGAGTGTCCATAGGGGGTCTGCCACCCTTACTCATTGCAGGGGCTTCAGTCATAGAGGCATTCTTACAAGTAGTTTTGTTATGCCCTAACTGCTTGTGGTTGCCACATTGCTTCTGTTTCTTTTCAGGCTGCTGTTTCTCCTCCTCTCCCTTCTCCTTTTTCCTCATTTTTGATTTAGGTCTTCCTGGTAGAACCCTAATTGGAGGTGGTTTTGGCTTCCTCCAACCTAACTTCTCCCAGTGCTTTGACCCTGGCATGGGGTGTATAGGATGCCCATATGCCTTCATGTATGTCTCCCTGCTGTATGCCTCATCCACATACAAATAGGGGTTTTCCCTTTTATCCATAAGACAGGCATATGCATGCACACAGGGTATACCAATCAGCTGCCAATGAAAACATGTGCAGGTTCTTCTCTCTAGGTCCACTAGTAGCTGATCGCACTACTAAAAATTAAGGTTTTTGCGACCGCTTCAAACGGTCGCTGAAAATAGCAAAAACGATCGTTGAAAATAATTGCGACTGTCGACGGTCGCAACATGACAGTCGTTATGCACTTGGTTGCAAAAAAAACATAATTACGACCGCATGACGGTCGCAGATTTATTGCGACCATTTCTATTCACAGTAGAAAAAAGTAAATGGGAAGCCCCAAATCGAGAGCGGTTATTAAAATCCACTTCGAAATCCCTACAAAAACCCACCCAAAAAAAAACATCAGATGTGAAATGGGAAGCGGTTTGGTTTAAACCGCTCCCAAAAATGTAATGGGAAGCGGTTCAAACCGCTTGCCATTTAAAAAAAGCAGGATATTAAATTAAAATTAAAACCCTTAGCTGGTTTTAATTCCAAAATTTCGCACTCTTTCACTCTCAAACGCCGGCATTATACTCACCACCACCACCATTGCTATTGATGTTGCTGCATCACTTAACCCCCACCACCATCACCAAGTCGCTTCTTCGCACATCCCACCACCACCAAACCGCTGCTTCATTGTTGGTGCTAATGCTGCATTGAGTATCGACTCGACGCGACCACCGCAGCAACCGCCGCCGCCTCGACCACAGTCAGCCACCCGTGTTGCTGCTGCTACGTAGTCCTTGCTGCCCCTCCCTTGTCGCATTCTCTCAATCCCTTGCTGCAGGCCTGCAGCTACGTGACACGGCACCACCACCACACCTCTCCCTCTCACCCCGTATTCCTTCTATTTCTCACTCTCATATTAGGGTGAGTTCATGCTCAATTTTACTTCCTTATCAATATTTTCTCAACAATTTCCCAAATTTCAAAGTAAGGGTTTCAATTTTAGTTAACCCAATTTTATCTTAATTGTGTTATTAATTATTTTTTTCCATAATGTTAATTGTTACTTTAATTGTTTAAATGTTATATGTTGTTTGAATTTAAGTAGCCTAAAAGTGATTTTTTTTAATAGAATAGTTATTAGTTAACTAGTTAGTTTGTTTAATTTGGTTATTAAAATATAATTTAGTGGGATTTTTGGCAATTTTAATGAATGAAATAGATAATTTAAATATCGGCAAATCCTTGTTTATTGGTAATGAATTATATGAATTAATGAATGGATTGTTAAGTAAGCTTAGTTTGCTTGTAGGTAGTCTAATTAGCATTATATGAATGAATGAACTTGTGTATTGTTGAATGTCAAATAAATGCAAATTATTGAATGATTGCATCGACATTTGTCTAGATACCCGTTTGAGTATTTCTCATTAGGAGAAAGTCTTGAATAGTCCCCGGTTGGGACTATTCTTGGACGTTTAATCTCACTTAGGTAGTGAATGTATGTCTCTTTTTCAATTTTAAGGAATATCTCGGCTTATCATTTTCTCACCATTTTCTCTGGGTGCATATGTGGGTAAGTAATTACCTACATTGTGTACTTGGAGAACTGGGGGGAAATGCTGCCGGATTTTCCATAAATTAGAAAAGTGACATACATTTACTAGTGATATTAGACGTTCAAGGATGGGTTAGGTTGGAGTGATAAGGACCTTCTGGGAGCATTCATTTCTACACTATATGAATGATATATACTATGTACTTTGATTGACATAATATATGTTACATTTATACATTATTTGTAATGCGTTGGTATGTTTAAAGGCAATTTAAAACGTCGATGGAACGCGGTTGGATGTATGGTAGACGTGATACATTGAAATTCTTTAATGGGGTCTAAGAGTTTTGCAAGAATGCTTCACAATATCAGCTCAGAATGGGTGTGAATTACCTTTATTGTCCTTGTGTCAATTGTAATAATGTCACAATTGTCAATAGTGTTGATACCATTGGGGATCATGTGGTATGTCATGGGTTTAGGCCTCAATATCATGTGTGGTTTTGGCACGGTGAAAAGGGATCGTATAAAGAGAATGTTGTTGGGAATGATACGCATGATAAAAGTGTCGAGATTCGTGTGGAAGAGGAATATTGGACTGATGATGGTGGAAATGGGGATGAGGAGGGGGATGAGATCGAGGACGATGGTGGTGATCACTTGGATGAGATGATG